TTACAGCAAAAACACCAACCTTACAACCTTATCATTCTATCATTTTTAGACATCTAGTTTTAGTTCAAATTTATTTCTAATTCAAAGCTCTCCTCTCTGCCACCACAGTTCCCTTGTTTTACATGTTTGCTATCGAATAAGCAATCTCAAATGTATTTTTCAGCTTAAATTACCAACTTAAGCTCACTTTTTGTTTCAAACTATGAAGAATTTAAATAATAAGCATTAATCATCTAAATGAGGTTACTTAGTCCTTGACACCAAAATTCTGCTGACAACTGTTAACCTTTGTAACATTATTTTGTTTCTGGACTCAGTCCACAGAACCAACCTCTCCTGTGTTCTCCTTTTCTGCTTCTGTATCAGTAACCTGTCTTATTTTTTTATTTACTTACTTATTTATTTTTGGTACCGGGGATTGAACTCAGGGGCACTGAACCACTAAGCCACATCCCCAGCCCAATTTTGTATTTTATTTAGAGACAGGGTCTCCCTGAGTGGCTTAGTGCCTTGCCCATTGCTGAGGCTGGATTTGAACTCCTGATTCTCCTGTCTCAGCCTTCTGAGCCTCTGGGAGTACAGGCATGTGCCAACGTATCCAGATTAAAATACTACTCTTAACAGTTTGAGGTGTGTGTGTGTGTGTGTGTGTGTGTGTGTGTGTGTGTATTTTTTTATTTATGTTTCATAGGTTTATGTGATAAACTGTTTTAATATTTTTTGATATGTAGAATAATTCAGAGAATGAATAAATTGATAAAATTTCCTAAGGAGAGTCAGAAGATAGCTTTAAAAATTTAAATAGAATGGAATCGTACTTTTATTCCTGACAGCTGCAGCTTTTTACATTTTCTTCATTTTCTTAGGATTTTTACAAGAAGACTTTAAGTTTGGAAAAAAGAAATGCCAGGCATAATAATCATTGCAGAAATGGGTTCATAGGAATAGAATTATAGGGGGAAAAAAATCACATAAAGACAACTGAAAATACACATCTTTAGTTCAGTTCTCAATTTGAGATATACTCATAAGGCACAACTGATTAACAATGATGTCCTTGTTTGGAAAACAAAACTAGCTCTTTTTTATTAATAAGCTATATAATTTTTATGATACATTTAACATTTTTGTGGTTTGTGTGGAGGTCAAATTTAAAAATTCTGGCAGGCACAGTGGCTCAGTAGGCTGAGGCAGGAGGACTGGGAGTTCAAAGCCAGTCTCAGCAATGGCATGGCTTTAAGCAACTCAGTGAGACCCTGGTCTCTAAATAAAATCTAAAATAGGGCTGGGGTTGTGACTCACTGTTGGAGTGTCCCTGACTTCAATCCCTGGTACCCCCTTAAAATTGTTTTTTTAGATTTTGTACAGCAGGGAGGGAAAGAGAAAATACTAGAGAATGATATTGATCAAACTATGTTGTTATATCATGCACATGTACAAATATGTAACAATAAATCCCATTTTATATATAATTATAACATACCAATCAAAATATGAAAAATAATAGAGACAGTGTTTCTAAGTTTTAAAAAATCTGTGGGCTGGGGTGATGGCTCAGCGGTAGAGTGCTCACCTTGCACATGCAAGGCCCTGGGTTTGATCCTCAGCACTACATAAAAATAACTAACTAACTAAATAAATAAAGTTATAAAAAAAATCTGTGAAGACATAAAACACTTATAATGTGCAAAAATATTTCCATTTATATAAACTCAATTTAAACTACTGTGTCTTATCTGCTGATATCAGAAGCACTCCTTTACACCACCACTGCTAGGCATTTCTCTAACATTTTCTTTTAGTAACCACTTCAAAATACAGTACTACCTCAAACACCGACCTTCATCTCCAATTTCTTCTTCACACATTGGCACAGGATCTCTAAGTAATAATAAAGGACAGACAGTAAAATGGAGTTCAGAGAGAAAAAGTGGTAAAAGAGTGCATTAAACTTAGTTTAGTTAGTCTTCATAATCCTATTCACTGACCCCCATCCCAAGCCTACACATCACTATCAACGTGAACCATATGAGCAGACTAGGATAGCAGAGAGAAATCTTTTCCTATCACAACAGAAAAATCTCATTTTTATCCTTCTTTCTGCTTCATTTTCATTTCCACTTCCAGAAACAAGGAAAAATTCTCTTTTCTCCAACCCTACTCATTATCCAGCCTTCATTGATATTCTTACTATTCAATGACTACTTTGCCTCCTTTTCCATCCCAACTTCTTTTTTCTCCTATCATATCCCCTTGAAAAACCCATCCATGCTTCATATAGCCAACTCAGCTAATCATACCTATCCAATGAATCATCCCTTTCCATCAATTTATACCCTTTTCCCTAACCTGAGGGCTGTTTTCTACTTTCCACTTTTAGTTAACAATATTAGGTTAGAAAATAGGAGGAAAATATTTATTATTTCTATAAAATTTGAATAATGTTAATGATGAACTATCCAAATTTCAAGCAAGTTATTTTAACCTTTTGGGACTCGGTTCAATTCATCTGTAAAATGAAGAAATTAGTTTAGTTAAGCACTCCAAAATGTATCTAACAAATTTCTAGACTCAACTATAAGGATTCTAAAACTAGAGATCTGAGGTAGAATGCAGGAATTTTTTTAAAGGTACCCAGATGAGTCTTCTGATCAAAAAATTTAGGAATTATTAATAAATGATAAGGATCCTTTTAGTCTTATATTCCAAAATTCTATGCTGCCATTTTCTGATAAAAATTGTTTAAAAAGGAGTACAAATGAATTAAATGGCCTTTGTAGGCTGATCTGCAGCACAGTTTATATTTTCTTCTGATAACAGCTGACTTGCAACTTGTAAAATATGTTTACCAATTAGCGACCATAAATATTAAAATACTGAGTCCTTGAAGTAAAACAATAAAAATTATTTCTTTAGAATTATATGCCAAATCACTTTTTCACAGGATTTTTCACAACTAAGATTTGGCCCATGTTAAAAACAAAGGTAGAAAAGGCATACTCATTAGGATCATTTATTTTGCTAGTTCACTGGTAGGGCTTTGTATATCACTGGAGCAAAGCCTAGAGAAGTCTAGATCATTGAGAGAATTCAGGCCATTAAAATGTCTAAAGAACAGTCTCATTCAAATGTTTAGATTGCCGGGATTTTACCTGCCCAGAAGCACACTAGATCATTCACTTCTGAACTACACTTATATATTCTAGTTCTGGTAACTTCCAACAACTAATTCTCATTATAAACAAGTGTTCCCATGGTTAATATTCTGGATTAAAGACATGTTTCAACATGTGGGGACTAAGCAAGTATAAACAGCACTTAAAGAGATGATGACACATTGGCACTATGTTAATTTAAGTGAACCTATTTATTTATGAATAAATGAATAATAATAAAATTATAAAAAGTAGAAATGGTAACTGAATTATATTTAAATCATTTTTTTTTCTTTAAAAAGATACACTTAATTAAATTTGTACAAAATTGCACTATAAATTGCAGGAAAGTGTGTCCATATATTTTCTCTTTTTTTCAACATAAAAATCTATAGTGAATGCCATTATGTAAGTGAATTCTTTGAATATCAAGAATGATGCAATTGTTGCTATGGTGACTACTCATTTTATTGAATAAATTGTGGATGGGTTTAAAGCATTATTTCAAAAATCAAATTTCAGTATATTAACTATGCTTGATAAATCTCTTTCTTTTGATACCTATTAAATAATACTATAAGCCATCTTTGGTGATGACTAATTAAGTAACCTCTATTAAAAGCCAGCCTTGAGTTGCCAAGGAAAGAAAACTTCCAATAGTTTTTTAAATGAAATACTCAAGTATATTCAAAGAAACAAAGACACTAAGCTTTAACTTTTTAGAGTAATTGAAATGTACTATTGAAAAGTAACATGATCTCACATGTCTTTGTTCCTTCACTGTCATAATTTTGCTTCTAACCTAAATTATTAACTAAGTATAAGACTAGAAGGCTGCTGACTTTTCAGTTTCCAATTAAACTAAAGTGATAGCTAGTTCAAAGTTAAAGCAGTTTTGACAAAGAGAAATTTCTCCTAGGCATGTGAAAATACTGATGATTTTCACATTCAAAATCTTATAAAACAGGTACAAAGCCTATATTTTAAACTAGCAAGGATAACTGTAGACTCCAACTACATGCATTCCTCAGGAATAAGGAAAAGTACTAAGGCTTCTCCCCTTGCTTATGATCTTCCATTAAGGGGGCTCAGGCTTCATCGGCATCTGTTTTTAGGTGGCTTGCTGGTTTTTAGACTACTTAAAACTGAACATTTTGAGGACCTGCCCCAGATCTCATCCTAGCCTAACTACATAACACTAAGTATTAAAGAATGGGGTGGGGGCATGACTGTGACCCGTTCCCCTTTCAACAAGGTGAAGTGCAGTCAGCTAAAAGGCCTGCTGACTTCGCAGCCCTGGAAGTCTAGGAGAGGAAGCTTGGGCATGGCAATAGGAAAGAGGTACCAGCAAGGGGGTCGGGCCGAGAGAGAACGAACAACAGGGTGGTCAGGCGCAAGGGAGAGAGCAGCATTTCAGCTTCTCTCCATCAGTCTTTCACAAATGGACTTACCTGTCTCCCTGTTCTACCTTCTCTTCTCATCTCTCGCAATGAGCGACCCCTTCCTCCTGGAGTGTGTGTGTGTGTGTGTGTGTGTGTGTGTGTGTGTGTGTGTGGTGACAACAACCTCAGCACCATGGCTGGGGACAGGGGTTTGGAGGGGGTGGGGACGCAGTTCCTCCACAGGCCTGGAACTCCCCCGAACGGCCCTTGAAGAAAAGGGGGCGGGAGGAGCCCGCCTGACGCCGACCGAGGGCTCAAACCCGTCCTGGGAGACCAACCCTCGCAGGGGCTGACGTGCAGCTCCTTTAGGTTTCAATGGTGGCCTTTCGGGGAGGAGGAGAGAGGTGACAAGGGGCTGGGGGTGATGTGGCCTCCCTTCCCCCTCGCTCTGCTGGCTGTTTACCTTCTCGATACTTCTTGCGGAGCCGCCGGTGGACGCTCTTCACCACCCCCGAGAGCTTCTCCTGCTCTAGCTTCCGCTCCTGATCCCGGGGCTGCGGAGTGCTCGGGGGCCCGGCCCCCTGCCCGCGAGCCACACGTCGGCCGTCGGCCCCTGGCTCCATATCGCAGCCGCCGCCGCCGCCGCCCCTCAGGCCCCCGCAGACGCTCCCCGGACGGAGGAGGTGGGGAAGGAGGAGGCAGCAGCGGAGGCAGCAGCCGGAGGAGGCAGAGGAGCCGGAGCGACAGCCTCGAAGGTGGCCCCTTAACCAAACGCCCAAGCCGATTGGTGGACTATGGAGGGCTGGGCGGAAACGGAATAGCCTTGGAACCAATGGACAGAGAGCGGCGGCGGCGCACCCGGTTGTTTGGGAAGGCGAGCAGCTGGAGGAGGCGGGGCTCACAGGCGGAGGGGTGCTGAGGCGGTGGGAGAGCTGGGCCCCGGGCGCCCATCTACGCCGCCCCTCCCCGGATTTTGTGCGCAGGCGCAATGGTGCGGCCTGGGGATTCGCGCAGTGAGCAATGCGCTTGCGCATCTTAATTTGCTTAGTTTGGGCTTCGTTCTACCATCCAGGTTTTGCAGTTTTGTGGCTTTTCCACCCGCTGTTTTATAATTTAGTGTCATGCGGCCAGAGTCCTCTACCTGAGCCTTCCTTGCACCCTGTCACATCCATGCAGGTTTCCTTTAGCTTTCTAGATACTCTTTACCATGACTTGACATCACAGGAATTTTACATTTCAGCTGACTAAGGCTTACATGCTTTCTTTGGCATAAGAAGAGGCCTGGGTACCAAAGGCTGGTATAACTCACCCACCAAAAGTGATTAATGCTACTCTTGATGGTTAAAGGACACAGAAAGTGGGGAAAGGCAAGGCCAAGAAAAGCAACAGGAGATGTGAGAGGACAGAGATGGAAAGACAGAAGGCCCACAACTGATGTTCTTAAGAACATTTGATAAAAATGTTGCAGGAAGCCTGGCCTAATTCACCTCAGAACTATAAGCGCTTTAAAAGTCGACTCAGGTGACCTCAGGACTAACCTCTTTAATATGGAAGGTTAGTCTTTGCCCAGGGTCTCTAAGTGGGTTTAGCAACCTGCTCAATTTCCCCACTTCTTTTCCTACTCGTGGGAAGCTCTTGCAGAATATGATTGCAGACTTCTCCAGAGAGCTGGAACACTGTTCTCCAGAAGAGACTGCAGTAGCTCCTAAAGTGGTACATGGGGCTGCTGAAGTTTCAGAGATCCAATAGGCAGAGAATCATGAATGAATTGTGTTAAGAGTGTGAACTATGTCCTCATTACAGTTGTGGTTGTATGACATTGTATGGAAATTGTTACAATGAAAACCTTTTGATCAATGATTTTAGAAATCTGAATAAAGTTCACATTATGTCAATTGTTTCATATGCTACTTTCTGGATAATGAAGACCCTAAAGAGCAAAGCAGTATCCTTACTCTCTAGATCATAGAAGTGAAAGGAGATTGGTGGAAGAGTGTCCCTACCAGCACAGTGAAGAGGCAGATCAAACAGAGACAGATAACCTTCAAAAGAACTAATTATAATTTTAGAAGAAATCAGGAGGAAGTACCTAATATATTAAGACTGTGGTGGTCTTATTTGCAGGAATTTCATTTGGAAAGAAAGGAGAGCTTGAATGGCATACCTATTTTGTTTTGATTTGTTTTTTTTTGTGTGTATTTTAGCATATCTGGGAGGCAAATACAGGGGAAATATATTATAGAAAGTATTAAATTTCATTTGTATTAATTGATAAAGAAAGCTTTCCTTCATATTCCTAGTAAACAAATTTTAATACCTTTTAAAAATTAAAGATGTTAACTGAAGGAAATTTGGAAAATACAGAAAGAAGTAAAGAAAATTAAAGTCACCTGGAAACCCACCACTGAGAAATAAGAACTATTGATGGTTTTTATTTATTTGTATATATTGATAAGATAATTATGGATGGCTATGATAATCTCCATTATGAATAACCTACGATGTCATCAGTTAATCCCCAGTTATTGTATATTTATATGTCTCCATTTTTTTCTGTATTCCAAATAATCCTGTGTCAAACACTTTTGTAGGGCTGGGGCTGTAGCTCAGTGGTAGAGTACCTGCCTCGAAAGTGTGGATACAGGGTTCCATACTCAGCATCACATAAAAATAAATAAATAAAGATATTGTGTCCATCTACAACTAAAAAATATTTTAAAAATAAACAAAAAAAGTCACATTTGTATCAGGTTTTCCCAGTTTCTTTAATAATACATTTCATTAGGCTAACTCTGTAACCAAAACAGGCATTACTGAATCAAAAGATTGAAAATATTACTTTTGATGTATATTGTCCAACCTCATTTTCCAAAAGATGGGGCAGTTTATGTCATCTCTGGATGTACCTGTGGATGTCTATCTCAATGCACCCTTACCTAGATTAAGTATTACAATTTACAAAATCATTCATGAGATTTTTTTAAAAGGCCTGTATTTTTAAGAAACAATAGGAACTTTCTGTAGTTTCATAATTATCTATTCTGGCTGGCATAATCTCTAAACTAGAAGAACAAATAAAGGGAAGTTATTTAAATAAGAACTTATTTATTTAACTTAAATAAAAGGAACTTATTTATTTAGAGTCAAGCAAATTGAAGAATATCACTTTTTTTTGACTTCTCACTTTGATCAGAAGCAACTCAAGAATTATAAGTTGGATAGACAGATTTTATTTTAAATTTGCGTAAAATTTAAATTTCTTAGTAAAAGGGATTCACTGAAAGAAGATCTTTTGACACCATATTAAACCATATCCTATGTCCAGAAAAATGTCAGCATTTTCCCCTACATATAGTGGCAGTTTTTATTGAATGTAAATATCTTATTTTTAAAAATTCATTATTATCATTATCATAATAATTTTTTTTTTAATTTTGATGGTGCTATGGATTGAACCCAGGGCCTTTCGAATGCTAGGCAATTTATCTACCACTGAGCTGCATCCATAGCTTGTTATTGTTATTTTAAATGACCATTAGGGAAAGAGGATGTTGGAATAAAACACTATTCACTGAGCAGCACAAATCAGCCTGGGAGGAAAAGGCTTTCTAAAGCACTAAACTGCAGGTAACTCAATTTATCATCATAATTTTTGCTTTACCTAACCAACTTCTGAACCCTCTTCCATGACATTTAGTGTGTCATAGAAAATTTCCTGTGTCAAAGAACCACTTGGACAAGTGGTAAGAAAAAATACTTTGACCTTTTGGGTTACAGTTATATGCCTTATAAGAAAAACAAATTCCTATAGTTGATGGAAAGAGTCAGCATACTATAATAACAAAGTATGTTCTATTCTCAGTGGAAGTTCAAAAAATACTAATTCAGTAATGAAAGCAAACTTTTAAAATCCCTCTCACAGTCTGGCATGTGGCATTGAGTTCACCAGTAGGTTTTGGGTGCACCCTAAAGAAGTTTAGTCTATTTCATTCTGCATTTACTGAGTAATCCTGTAAAAAAAAAAAAAAAAAAAAAGAAGACGACTACATATTTTTCACTTTTAAATATTATCTACTATTCTTTGGCCTTATTTATCATCAAAATCCTAAAAACAATTAAGTTTTAATGTAGTGTAATAAAAAAGTATAAATAGTAAAGATGTTTATAAAACATATAGCAATGTATATAAATGATGCAAAGAAAAAGACTTATAACTGAAGATAAAGCTACATTCCAAATTGGACAAATCTTTAGCTCATGACTTTTTATGGTTTGTATAGGAGAAATTCCCCAAAAGCTCATATGTGAGACAATGTGAGAGGGTTCAAAGGGGAAATGATTAGGTTGGGAAGCCTTAAACTGACCAGTGAATTAATCCCTAATGGGATAACTGAGTGGTAACTGGAGGTAAGTGGGGTGTGGATGGAGTAGGCAGAGCATTGAGGGCACGGCTTTGGGGTTTATTTTTGTATTTGGTGAGTGGAATCTCTCTGCTCTCTGATCATCATGTGAGCTGCTTCCCTCTGCCACACTCTTCTACAATGATGTCCTACCTCTCCAGGAGCCCCAAGGAATGGAGTCAACCTTCTATGGACTAAGACCTCTGAAACCATGAGCCCTCAAACTTTTCTTCCTCTACAATTCTTCTGGTTGCTTCATTTTATTCACAGAAGTGAAAAACCTGACTAAAACATGATTATTTAGAAATAGAAGTTTTAGAAATTCAGCTAAAATGAGGACTCAAAAAGTAAAATCAATGTTATCTGAAAATATTTACTCATTATTTATATAATTCTTACCTATTAATATAAAAATACCAATGAAGTTTAGGTTCCAATTTCTATGAATCCACAATTTTAAAAGGTACATATAACATTTGTTGGGCACATTAAAATCAAAAATAATTTTGCTTGTTTCAAATTTTGCAAACTTTTTTTTGGAAAATGTATTTTTTTAACTTTATGTTTTGATAGAAATAAAAGGGTGGAGCAAGAAAAACATTTCATTGGTATATTCTCATCCAGTAAGGCAGATTGCAACTTTAAACCCCTTCTATTTGTGAAAAAAATAGGATTATTTACTTTAAAAATTATGTTTATGAATCCAATACCTCTCCACAATTGTTAATATATCCATCAGCCTGAAAAACCTATAATATTACACAAAGATTAGCTACCTTGCTAATCTTAATTAAGATACACAATAGTCATGGTAGTATTAACTATAGCATGTGATAACCATTAGTTAATTCCTAACTCCAAATGCAACTATAAAATTTACAATATGTTTGTGATATACTAATTAATGGAATATATTTAACATTCATAACAAGGCTAATACAGGGATAGCTCTAAATAGAAAATAATGTTAAATTATTCCCTTATAATGAAGTATACAACTTAGAGATTCTCTGTGTTCTGATTCTGGTTTTGCATTAACCACCAGAGAAAGGTACTTCAGTTGTCTGAGTTTGTTTTTTTCCATTCTCTCTCTCTTTGTCAAATGTACAAAAAAGAAATTATATTTGACTAGTGTTTTTAAATTAATTAATTCATTTATTATCCATTGTATCATGACTTAAGAACAAATACATTTTACATTAGTATACTTGGACATATACTGTTCACATTTATATATATATATATATATATATATATAAAATGAAGTCAAAATTTTACAAAATAATACTTTGCAAAGTAAAATGCATCCTGGCATTTTCAACTTTGTTATTTTTAACACAGAGAGAACCCTACATTAATTTCAAGGCCCTTTAATGAGTCATTGTCTAAGAATTAGAAAACACTGGCAATTTGAAACATCTCTTTGACCCCTGAACCTAAGTAATTCTGTTACTCACGTAAATTTTTTTTTAGAAAATTTAATGAGATGTTCTTGTCTGTTCCT